TGAAATAAATCTATCAAATGATCCAGCTATTTCACTTCAGTATTTACCTGAATAAAACAAAAAAACTAATCCAAAAAAATATCTGCACCAGTATGTTCACTGCAGTATTATTTACAATAGCCAAGATATGGAAGCAACCTAAGTGTCCATCAATAGATGAATGGATAAAGAAGATGTTCTACAGGTATACAATGGAATATGACTCAGCCATAAAAACGCATGAAATCTTGCCATTTCCAACAACATCTGTGGACCCAGAGGGCATTATGCAGATGCAGTAAGTCAGAGAAAGACAAACACCATACGATTTCACTTATATGTGGAATCCAAAAAAGAAAACTAATGAACAAACAAAATAAAATATAACAAAACTCACACATACAGAGAACAGACTATGGTTATCACAGGGGAAAGTTGCTGAAGGGCAAGCAAAAAGGGAGAAAGAGGGCCATCTGTATGGTGACAGATGGTAACTCGACTTACTGTGGTGATCACTTTGTAGTGCAAATATCAAGTTATTATGTTGAGACTATTATGTTATATCCCAATTTAACTTCAACTTCAAAAGAAAGTGATGGTTCTTCACTAAAAAACACACATTTTTGGCAGTAAGAGAAGCAAGTCAAATTTGGTAGAGGTTCAGTGGGCATAAACCACCAAATACCCTAAAGAACAGTTAGGAAAAAAGGTATTTGGGGCACTCTTCAGAGAATGCTCCAGTCACTGCCAAGGCTTCATCACATCATATGAAACATGCAAATCAGAGACTCTGCAAAGACTTAAGAACATACATTTCACCAGTAGCAAAGGCCTGCTATAGGTGATCAAAGACTAAACTGAATAAAAACAAAGTATCAAAACCTATGAAATAACTTGTATTTTTCCCTCAGAATGAGAACAGAAATGATTATTACATTTCTTAAAAATTTTAAATAACATGATCTTTCAAATTCTAAGAGGAAATAATAGATCAGATGCAGGTATTAAACACTGGGAGTTTGAAACTGCTGTTTTACATGTAGACCCTTCACAATTTGGTTTATAATTTAATTTTCTTCAGAAATTTACTTCCTAATATTACATTAGATAGTTAACTTCATTATATTCAAAACTCAGGTTCCACTGGTAACTAAAATCTTTAAAAAAATCAAGAATTGCTACTAGTGATATTACTAGGGTAGCAGGATGCATTTAAATGAACTGAAAAGACTAAAAAGATCATGGAGTTGACTACTAAAAATTAATCTCAAGCATATATCACACATCAGGCAGCTTGCCATAAATCAAAATTCCTATCATTTGCCTCATGTGAGGCATAATTACTTCTACACTATGAGTATCTTCACAATTCCCTTACATTGGCAGAAAGCCATAATTACATGATATCCCAGATTCTCAATGACTCATTAAAAGAGCTAGTAAAACATGCATTCACTCTAAATGCATGTCACAGTTTTAGTACACAGGGAGGAGGTTAAAAAACATAGAAGAAAAGGATTGTTGGCCCCATGTAAGTGACAGGCCATACCGCTAAGAAACAGAAGAAAGGCACTGGAAAAGAAACATGCTAGAAAAGATCAAACAAGCTCCTATGTGTCAAGTGGTATTTAAAACGCTATCTATATTCTCTCAATGGTGTACAAAGCAGAACTAAACATTTTTTAAAGAAGCTGAAATAGATAATCAGGGTTTAATTCACCTAACTGGAAACATTAAAGCTACAGTCATTCTGACTTATACACAGATGTACCTTGCTTACCAATGAAACAAATGTTATAACAGAAAAGCCTGTATCTTATCTTAAAAGCACAAGGGGCAAAATACTATTACCTTGTAGCCACTGGTCCAAAGCGTTATCAATAGTGCACTTCACAACAGGGAGGAATTCAGAGTTCATGAAGAGCCCTCGCTTAGGATGATTCTGCAGCCGCTCCTGATGGCTTCTGGAGCTGAAAAACTCTAACACCAACTTTATCTGCCAAAGTTCAGATGTCTCAGACATTTCTCTTCTTCCTAACCTTCTTATAGCCTTGAAGAGAAAAAAGGAACAGCAATAATGGAGTGATGGTGTTCTATTCACTCTTCTCAGAGTTGTATACTAGACTATTTTCTAAACATGGCCCACTGATCATTAAAGGGCAGAGGGGATTCCACTCCATTTTGCTGCAGTCTACCCCACAGAGCAATCCTCCTCTGGGTACAGACACATGGCCCACTCTCCTCAATTGGGTCTCCACATGAACAGCTTTCAGGTGAAAGCAACACAGGCAAATAAGTTCATTCTTAGCTCAATGTCTCTGAAAAAAGAGACCCAGGGGGTCCATACCCAATCACTTTTGGGAAACCCACATGGGCACACTAACATGACCAGATCAGGTCAGGGTCCCAGGAGACAGAGGCAAAAACAGTACTACTGATTAAGACTGCTCTTGGGATCACTGGCAGTCACGAGGGCTGCAACCAAACAGGATATTCTTCCCTACACCTGCCCGTGACTGCGAGGGGTGAAGGTTCTGAGTGTAAAAAGATAATACACTGTCAGTTAGCAACTGAAAACTCATCACTCGACTGCTGCAAAGAGGCACTGTGGGAAAGAGGGCCAAAATGAACATCATATATTCATACTTTCTAATAAAAAAGTGAATACCAGACAGTAATGGCATTCTTGGCCTACCTGGTTACACTTGAACTTTTTTTTAAGAATGTTATTTAACACAATATGACTTTCAGGATTTGGGGAATTATATTCCTTGTATAAACATATTTGCCTGCTCAGCTTTTCAGTAGAGATTATTTTGCCATTAGGGATTTTTTCCTTTAGCTTTACACACTGAATCCCAAATGGTTCTGTGTGAACTCATTATATCATATTTACTTGAAGATCTATTTAAGACTATAGACTCTAAACCTCATTTCAGAAATTCTGATTCAGTAGATATGGAATGGGATTTGAGGATTTGTATATTTAAGAAAAATTTTAGCCAAGTTTGAATACTATCAGCTTAGCTTGACTGCAATTTTGGGTCTGAAAGATACGATACTATTAAAAAGCTACAAATAAACTAAAATGAATAAATTGTTCTTATCCTTTAGAAAAGCTATGAAGCATTATTCTCTGCATTATCCTATTTGGGCTCTTTTAAAACAACAATAACACAAAAGAATTTAAAAGTGGACTCTGATCCCTAAATCACTACATACTGATACTACGACCTTTCACAAGCCTAATCACGTAGGTATGATCACATTACTGCCATCACGAAGGCACTGTCTGTTCACTTACTGCTCATCTGCATAGTATTTTCCATGGAGAGGCTTTGTCAGGAGGGAAGCAGGAAACACTAGGATGGTAAGGGAGAAATGGAGGGCATGTTCTCTTCCTCTCTTTGCCAGGGGACATGTAAAACAGATGAGAACAGGAACCCTTAATGTAAGACAGCCCAGCAAGGGGCACTCCTATCATCATAAACTGAAAGCTTTTTTGATATTTAAGAGCTTTCAACTTTGATAGGGCTTCCTTTTTTGAATTTGTAAAATTAAATGAAAAACCAGAGAACTTTACCTATTGCATTGTTATTTGAAATATAGGATAAATCTCATCATAGTTGGAATAGGTGTTTTGAACCATACCTGATCCATTGCTATGTATGCAGACAACATCTCTGGGGTCTCCTGAGTAACACATTCATAGAGTACTGAAGAAAATAGATCCAGAATTTCCTGTTTCTGTGGAAAATCAGAAAATGTTAATACCACATCAATGTATATTCCAAAATCAATTCAAGAAATAATTTATTATATGGCAACTACTATGACTCATTCTTTAGTTCTGCAGTGAATGATATAAAAGAATACACAGCTATTCCTTTACAAATCATAGTACATGGAACACTAAACATCAATGAACTGCACCCAAAGTTAAGTCCCACAGGACAGTTAAGGATACAAGTGCTATGGAGGAGAGGAGTGGGTAAGCTGGGATAAAATGAGCAGAGAGGACCCTACAGAGAGAGGCCTAGCCCAGCAAGAGCAGGAAAGAGAACCCAGCATCCAGAGATGCAGCAGAAACACTGAGCAGAACAAATACGGGGGAGACAGTACAGCCAAGACCAGCTGGGGTTAAGGGTAGGCATGAGCCTTTCATCCAAGATCTGAGGCCCTGAGTGCATGCCCAGCCCTTCCTTACAAGATGCGTGATCTTGGGTATGTAACATCACTGAACAGCAGTTTCCTCCTGTGTAAACCCAGAATGATAAAGCACCTACCCTCAGGGTCAGAACTACATGAGAAAATGACAAAATACTGAGCAGTGTCTGATACATAGTAAAGATTCAGTAAATAAGAGAGGGAAAGGCTATTTCACTTACCCCTCAAAACAACCATAATCCCACTTTTAGAAATGAGGAAACTATGTCTTAGGTTGAAAATTGTACCAAAGGCCATACACACTTGTAGGCAACAGACCATCATCTAATCCCTACACCAATCTCTGCTGTCTGCAATGACAGATTAACATCAAACATCTGCTGGGAACCCTCTAAATTCTGAAGAGAACACAGTTTTATGAGCAACAGAAAGAAGGGCTATAAAACACAGAGGAAACAAAATTAATAAACTTAAAGAACAAGAGAAGGGTAGTAGGCACTAAAAACATAAATCAGTACAAAAATGGGCATAAAGTATCACCTAACAAAACTAAGGTCTTAGACATTTTAAGTTGTTTCTTCTAATTAAAGGGGAACTACTGAATTTAATAGTTACACTATGGAAAACCTATTTTTGCCAAGCAAAAATCATCCAATGTCCCTAAGGCGGTGTCATCAATCTCAAAGATAGATATGGCTATTGCAGATATTTTTGGTAGAATATATATTCCACAGAGAGAAACAATAACAAATTCTAGTCTTTGACCTGAGCAAACCATATAATGTGAACATACCTGACCCATGTTCACAGTGGGTTTGCAGAAATACTCAGCAAATGACAGAAGTGCTGGATCAGAAGTGAATGCTGAAATCGTTTCAGGCTAGGAAATAAACAACAAATGTAAGTGAAATAATAAAGATAATTTTCGTTACTGCTCAAATTGTAATATATGTAAATTTACCTCTTTTTTACACAATGTTCCCATAAAACCCAAGGCTGTACAAACTTGCCAGAGCTTCATCGACCTGTTCTGCTAAGAACTCACAAGAAGCTTTGTGCACAAGCTAGTATGAGCTACTGATTCATCAAATGGTCAATAATAAACAGTTCTTTCTTACACAACTCACCTCAAAAAGGCTCTCCCTCTCCTTCACTGACCAACTGAAAAACCCACTAAAAACTAGAATTATTTCTGAAAAGATGGGGAAAAATATTGCTTAAATAACCCACTCGCAAAAAGACAAATCCTATGTGGTCCCACTTATATGAGATATCTAGGAGTTAGAATCATGGAGACAGAAAGTACAGTGGTGGCCATCTGGGGCTCAGGGGGAAAAGGAATGGGGAATTATCTAGTAGGGACAGATAGAGAGTTCTGGAGATGGATGGTGGTGATGGCTGCACAACAGTATGAATGTACTTAATGCCACTGAGCTGTACACTTAAACAGAGTTAGAAGAGTAAACTTTGTTAGGTGTATTTTACCACAATAAAAAAAAGTGGAAAGAGAGAATATCACTGAAGGTTCAAGACCAAAAGTGGAATATGAAGGTATTACCATTTTCCATTAAGGTTTTTAAACCATATTTTACTCCTCAACTCCCAGCAATTAGCAAATTGAGATGTCTTTGAATTTTATGTAATTTCCCCATTCAAACTCTAGTACAAACTTTATTTTCTTTACAAACTGGATTAGGGTCTTTGAGATGGGCTCTAATTTGTTTAAGAAGGAATAGTGCTAATTTAAGTTTAAGCTCATCCAAAAATCCTTCAAAAGTATTTCATCAACAACCTATCAAACACTGCCAAACAAAATTCACTGATGTCAACTACATCTATTTAAACCCTGGGAACTATTATAAAGGCTCGGTCATAAGGAACTGACCTAAAATAAAATGTAAGTTGAACAAAAATAAACTGCTGTCTCCTTACTTGTAAGAACAAAGAATGCTAACTCAAGACTTCTGGCTACCACATAGCCAGTCCATCTGCCATGTTTTTGCTCTATGTAACTATCCTTCTAGGATCCTAACTACTTTAGATGGCTCCTTGATGTATCTTCAGCAGGAACAAATCTGTTCATGACTTCTGCAAACTGGAGTTAAATACAGAAATTTTAATGGTAGATTATGGAACACATTTCTAGTGTCAAAAACTTAATTTGAGTTCTAGAATATAGAACAAAATAGGTGTGAAATTGTTTCGTACACTCTTTTAACTATTTATTCATTCCAAATACTACCATATTAGAGGTCAAGTACTATGAGAATAATAAAGCAAACTAATAAAGCCAAATCTGTCATCAATTTATTCTCACCAAGATCTGTGCAACAAATGGAAAGGTTTAAAGATGGAACTAGTTAAGTACTACCTTGCAAAAATCTTTTTCTATTTCTCCCATGAATTAAGCAAATTGACAGATTTGAGGATTAGTAAGTAAAATTTAAACAAAATATTTTTATAGTGTTAAGATATATTGACTGTCCTTGCCACTAAATGAAGATCATCCTCAGAGTCTTGGGAGATGGCTCACGTTTTATTATGGTTGCCACATAAAACAGCAAACAGACCCAAGGTCATTCCATCTTTATAATTTGCAGTGATGAGGGGGAGCAGATCCACCTAAGGATGAGCCATGCTTTGGGTGGGACTAGTGGGATGTGGAATTATTCTCTTTCATGCTTCAGTTTTTACCAGTCATACTACCTTGAAAGCCCGAGCTTCAGAGTTCCTATTGGCAACAGTCTGGGCCAACAAACTTTGCCATCCCATTGGATCTTCCTTGTAGGAAAGCTGACCTGCTCTGAGCTTGACATATAAAACTCCATCCTTGGAAAGGATTGATCTGAAAGAAAACAAGAATGAATTTTATGAGTTATTACTGGCAGTTCTTGGCTGGAAATGTCATGTTCCCAATAGCATGTTCACAGGAGATGAAGTCCATCATTTCCTAATAAGGTTTGTGATTATGTATATAATTTCTTTATAATTTATACCTTCCCATATACTTCTATTCACTGTGTCCAAAAATTAATCAGTCTCTAGAAAAAAGCCAAAATAAAATTCTGCTTTTCTTTGGTGTCTAGATCATGGAACTTGCTAAATAAGAAGGCTTTCTCACTGTCTGCTCAATCGTGAGCTTCAAAGGCAGTATTTTACCTAACACTGCTTCATATTCCCCATATTCCCTGGCATGATGCCCGGTACTAAATATGGAGATACTATTATCTCTTGATTGGTTTCTATCTTGTTAGACTTTATGGAAATTTAAGGATTGAATTTACACACTACCTAAGGTATAAAACTATTAACATTCTGTTCACTAAAGCAACTACTTCCATATGACTATTTCCACCCTAAAGTAATCTATCATAATCTTAATTTTATGAGTGCAATGTAATAAGAGAATGGTAAAGAGATGCAAAGGAGATATGGTCTGTCAAACATCAACTGGCAAAAATTCCTTTTGTGGACATACACATCAGCCTTATTTTCTAAAACTAAATCTTTCATTATTATTCCAACAGGCAATTCTACTACTGTCTCAACTTACGTCACTTCAAGTTTCTCAAAGAAAAATTATAAATACTTATGGCTTATTTTCTACATTAAAACTTTCATTTTCTAAAACAGACTCTGTTTCAAAGATATAGACCAATTTATTCAATATACACTCTATACATTGTCCTGGATGAGATCAAAGGGTGAAGAACACCATTCTAAATAATAATCTATAGTTTATACTTTGCCATATACTTCTATTCTCTTCACAGAAACATCTGAGAAATTCATTATACTTACTTCAAGTGTTGTGTTCCCTTGCTTAAATCTATGAGCAGTTCCCAGTATCGTGGGCCTTTAACTTTAATCTGCCAAGATAAATGCAAACAGTCAATCCTACATGAAAAAGTGATAATCTGTTCAGATGAAACCCATGTACCTCAGAGGAAGTAAGAATAACTGGGCTGGAAAGAGACAGCTCCATCTCCAGACAAGAATGCATGCACATCATGTTTGGAGGCTATCTAAACCTGTCAGTAAAGACCTCCCCTAATCCTCATGTGAGTTCCCTCTGGGGCTGCTTTCCTATTTCCTGCAAAACACTGAGAAAGCAGAGGCTTTTGTTTAGCTACCTTTAATGCTATAGCATCTTTACTGCTATACTGCTCTGGTGAATTTAGTCCTTGGATATCACCCTAAATCATATCCAACTCACCTGTTTTAAAAGGTGGAGCTCTGGAAGGAGGGTAGGCGCCATCAATTCTTCCTTGGTTTGTTCATACCACTGAGTGCCCTTTCAAAGGTGAAAGAATAGCCACAGTCACCAGGCAGGTACAGGAAGCTATGAAGAAGCCTCTCCATCTCTCCTTCCTCACAGATGATCAAATGGCATAGAATCCTCTGTGATATTCACGTCTTTTAGCGCTAAACTCTACAACCCTTCACAGGGACTGCATCACCTTCTACCACTTGCACTTTATGTGCAGGCCGGAGGCCCCTGGGATTTTGCACATGTCATCTTCTCTGCTGGGAACATGTCCCACTCAGCTGGCAAATCTCAGCCAAACACTGTGCCTGCCATGATGGCCTCTTCAACCCCCACAGCTAGAGAAGAGCACTTCTTCTCTCCTCCCACTGCATCCACACATGCCTTTAATTATTATACTCCACCCTTAATGCATCAGTGCCTGGATCTCCAATGGGCAGGAGTTCCTTAAGGACCATGAGAATATAATCTCATTTTTGTACCTGAGAGATTAGCAGTTTTCATATACAGAAGGTACTTAATAGTTTTCTAAATGAAGGAAACATACATGACTTGTAACCTATCTGTACATAAATCAAAGCTCTCTCAGATCTTGGGCTTTAAAGCACTCTGCTAACAAATCTAATGATTCGTTCTTTAGAACACTACCATCAGGATATAAAGTTAACAGGGATGTTTTCAAACCTCAAGCTCTAAGGACTAAAAAGCAGCTCATAAGCTCTAAAATATTACACTCATAGATTATAAATGAACCTGAATGGCCTGGCAGGATGTAAAGAATTTTGGAAGTTTCCATTCTTATGAGTATTGAACTCATTACTTCCACCTCTTAAAGAACAACATTTAAAAATATTTTGACCTGCAAAGATAGATGCGTGACAGTAAAATTACAAATAAATGACAGAGGCCAAGAGTTACCTTATAGGTAACTTCCAGGAGGGCATAGCAGGGCGTGTTTGTATCCACATCCACAGGCACTAAGAGCCTTGGTTCTGCAGCCAGCACATACAGGTGCCGCAGAGCCTGGAGATGATACCTGTTGACAGAAAACACAGAGGAGGTCATGCACAGGTGCTGACAGTGTGAGCCCTACAATTTGTTGTCGTCTACAAGCCGAGCTGGGACAGAAGCTAGAGTTGCTATCTTCCCATGATAGCATACTAAAGATGATGATGAAATTTAATTCAAAAGTAATGGAATAAGGGGGGAAAAGGGGCATTATGATTAGCACACATAATGGGGGGGGGCATGGGGAAGGCAGTACAACACAGAGAAGACAAGTAGTGACTCTATAGCATCTTACTATACTGATGGACAGTGACTGTAATGGGGTATGCGGTGGGGACTTGATAATGGGGGGAGTCAAGCAACCATGTGTTGCTCATGTAATTGTACATTAATGACACACATACAAAAAATAAAGCTCTGCCCAGTACTCTGGGCAATACACACACACAAAAAAAAAAAAAAGTAATGGAGAAATTCTCTTTTAAAAATTACACACATGATCCTTGACCCAAGAATTCTTTACTTGAGTTTTCAGTTGAGAGGTTTTATAGAGAAGCAAAAATTATCTTAACATGAAAATATTTAGTAATAAATTGATCACATATAAAAATCAGTTCTCAAATATCCTTTTCTGCCCAACATAGGTATCTCTTCTCATCCTCTATGGGATTTACTTTTGGTGGTTTCTTTTCTTTTCTTTTCTTTTCTTAAGGGTTGGTAGGGAAGAGAGGGGAACAAAGAGTGCCAGGTTTCTTCATATAGCAAAGCTCTTCTACATGTACATACCAGTACACACACACCCAGAATATGGGGCACCAGAAATTACAAGGCAAGATATGAAAATATTTTTCTTACTGTATGTGTGCTCTACTGAGTTTTCAGCTTTTTTAAAGCTTTAAAACTTATACTTCAGAACAAAAAAAGTTCTTATATTTTAAGATCCCAAAAAGGATAAAATGAGACAATTTTTTTTTAACTTTAGTTATAGCAATAGCCTCTCTCTTCCCATCCAAATTTACCCATTCTTATAAATCTGTTAAAATAAAATCAATCAAGGCCAAAAAAAATACAATACTTACCAGTTACATAAAGGTTCTTGGTGCTTTCTTATCACCAAATTACTTTGTTTAAAATAGCTAAGCCAACTGATACACTGACCAGCAATATGCAGAGAGTGGTTGTTCACTGTACACTAACCAATTACTGACTTTCTCAACTCAAAAAATCTTTCCTAAATCAACAAAAGACCACATGTTGGAACTGTATTAACAAGAATATTCTTATGCTCTACCTATTACCAGTCTGGACTCCAGACCAGGCTACCTTTGTAAAACAACTATCTTTCTTTTACTATCATTACTATTTTAAACTAATTACCCTGTAGTTTAAAATGATGTGTTAATTCCTATGAGTGCTCCATCTCTGGATCCCTCCCTGGGCAGATTACTTGAGCACACTGGTCATCTAAAACATCACTGAGATACAAGGAGCTTCTTTCCTTCCTCCAAATGTGCTACAGGCTGGCTCTGCCTGCAACTTCTAGGCAAACTGAAGGGCTGTTGGTTCTTTGTGCTCTAAAATTCAGAGCTTGTGTATGATCAGACTGCCTCCACATGTTGCAGGTTCTACCGCTCACTGCCACTTCTTAATTGTCTCTGACTTTTGCTGCATTTTGCTTTTCTTATCCCTTCTATGTCATATAAAACTTGATGGCATTCATGTAAGAAAGGCAAAAAGGGAATTCACATAGGCATTGTCATTAATTCAGACATCTCTCTCTTGGAAAACAATTATAACAAAAAACATATCTTCAGCTTCTCTTAACTACTATCCCTTTCTTGATTAATTTTTCTCTAAAGATAACCTTGTTTGGCCTATTTCTGCATTTAGAGTAGTTCCACTGATTGGAGAACAGATGAAAATCTTAAAAAATTTAGCCAGGAAGATAACTAAGTTCAAAAACAAAAATAGAGCCAATTTGGAAATGAGTCCATGGAACCAAAACACAATCAAATCATCCCCTTAGAGAACTTAAGGAAGACCACGCTGAGGACAGAATCACGGGACTCACCGGTTGTCAGTGCTATGAGCTGGGAAGTGCGGGTAAAGGGCACAGAGGAGGGCGGCAATGGAAGAGTTTGATGTACTCAAAGAGTACCTGCAAACCGAATTGAGGAGGACAGACGTTATTAATTGTACAGGGCAAACTTCCAAAGCACTCTTGAGAATCGGGGTATTGGAGTATCAGCATACCGATGAAATAACTCTGATAAATACAAGTGTGTGGATGCTGGGACATTTCAATTTTCAGTTAGTCCTTAAGCCATTTCAAGGCTATTTACTATTTAAAGCAGAAGCAACACCCCACAAATGTTAAATATTTCAAAAGTTTTAACCTAAAATAGAATGGTAGCAAGGACCATGAATGCAACCCTAGAGATTATAGTGAAAAAGTAAACCACCTTCTTCTCCAGTTTTATATATATATCTATTTTTAGAATTATGAACCTTACTTTTAAAAATACAGGGTTTTTTACTCGACACCTCAAACATTTTTTTCCATTTCTCTAAAGCATGAGCATTTCCTTAGAATGTCAGCATAAATGGACAAGGCAAAAGTTATCATTAAAAAGTCATGATGAATGAACACCTATCCCTTTGAAATACAAGTATCATTTTTTTATCAATAAGATAAATTTATTTTATAAAGGCTATATACTCCTAGTAAAGTAAAATCTTTTGAAATTTTCCTTAAATTATTTTACTGTTACTCAAATTCAGCAAGGCAAGCAGGCAGATTAATCTAAAGTTCTAGAATTTTTCTTACAAATATTTTGAAATAAAGATGGTATAGAAAGCACATAAAACCACTGTTGTAGTTATTCAATAAGCATATATATTACACATACACAAATTTTTTAATCATTTTTTAATACTTAGGGTATCAAGTAAGAACTTAGCATTTATCATGCACATACATATTTAATGACTTAGGAAGAATAGATTTCAAAATTTAAGTAAGGAAATACATCTCTTTTGACATGTGCATAGAATAGGCTATTTCTCTTTACTATTCTGATAAAACCAAAATCCAAAGATAGATGTTAGGATATTTATGTTGAAAATTTTGACATTAACATAAGGGTGTAGCTATGCTATGAAATGTGAATGAGAGTACAGAGAAAAGCAGCAGCGGAGTGGGAGAAATCTACTGGATATGAAAGAAGAGCAAGTAGGGTCATATAATGTGGAATGACGAAAGATGAAATTATAAGAGAATAAAATAAATGCAAGTGCTTACTTTGAGAGTAAAAAACTTCAAAATTATAAAGTAAGAATTTTCATAGCAATACTTCTTTAACCATTCTTAATTATAAACAATTAAACAAAGAACAATTCTACAAAACCTGTTAAAATGGAATGCATGCCTTTCGGGTAATCTTTACTTTTTATACTTCTGGAAAGCTGATTTCTAGCATTTAATTAATTTATAAGAAGAGGTGGAAATAAAGCTACATGATTTGTAGAAATCCCATCAGTTGACCCAGGTCACATACACCAGAGCTAAATAAATGAAGGGATTTACCATATTAACAGACTGGAAGACTCAATATTGTAACATTCTCAATTCCTCCCAAAATGTCGATGCAATCTGATCAATATTTTATCATGTTATTTACTGTGGAAAAATCACAAATGAATGCCAATACTTTTATGAAAATGTAAAAAGCCAAGACCATAAAATTAAGAAGACACACAAGGCTGATGGGTATGTAATACTACTTTGGAGCACTGATGGAATTACCTACTGAAATTGAGCATACATAAATACCCTATGACAAGCTCTATGTACAACAAAATGTTTTAACAGTATTATCTGGAATAGCCTCAAACTAGAAACAACAAACATATCCATCAATACCACAGTAGATCAATAACTGTGATATAATCATTCAATAGCACTAAAACAGGAATAAATTGCTACATGCAACTCTGATGAATCTGACAAACATAATGTTAAGCCAAAGAGTAAGGTACCAACAGATACACTGTATATGACTCCATTTGAATTAAAAAAAATAAAAACAAAAAACAGGCAAAAACCAGTGTAAGGAGTTAGAAGACTCAACAGTGTGTCTTTGGGTAGTAGTAGTAGTGCTCGCAGGGGCACAGCAGGGGTGGAAGCAGGCACTGTTAGTTATATTTTGATCTACATGGTACCAAAGAGCATATCAGAGTATAGATAGTTCATGGAGCCATACTCCTATTACTTGTACACTTTTCTGTTTGTGTATTTTTATTCAGTACAGATCTTTAAAACCCAGTAAGTCTTACAGAGGATGAGGTGATCAGGAACGACAGATGCAGGAAAGAGCAAGAAAACTGAAAACTAAGATCTCAGAGGATTTGATGATGAATAGTGTTTGTGTCCTTTAGAAAGCAGTGTAGCAGAAGGGTTAAACAATGGGGAACAAGAGGTGGTACACTGAAGACCTGAGTACAGAGAAGTGCAGACAGGATGGTAACTCTACTAAGTACGACATAAACTGATGGTTAAACTATCTAAAAACCCTTTTAGAAGTGAACTAATGCCTCTGGATAAGCTAACAGCTGGTTGTAACTGGAAACTTTCACTTATCTTCAAAATAAAATAAGTCACTCTTATCTTGCTGCTGAAATCTCCCCAATGAGGAAAAATATGTATATTCATTTACCTTCCTCCTCCCAAAAACAGAAGTCCAAGGGCCATGTGATGGGCTAAGTGGAAACCATAATTCATTTCACCACCTGTTTTCATGTGCAAGAAACGACAAAGCTGCAACACCTTCAGGTTCCCCGAGCCCGCCATCACCATGGCCAGAGCCAGCAGGACCACACTCAGGCAAGTTTCCAGGTTGTAAGGACCCGTCTGGAAATGGGAAAAGATGACATTCTACAACTGCTGTGTTACATTTCTTTATATCAAAACTAAATATTGGCCATCACTAGACTACAAATGTTTCAAACTTTATAAATCTGTAAAAACATTATTATTTTCTCTGGTTATGAAATTTAATTCAATGCCATAAATTCAGAAAATAAAGTATCAAAAAGAAAATATTCACTTGGAAAACTAACACCCAAAGAGAACTGTAATAAGCATTGTGGCTTTCTTTTTCTCCAAATCTTTTCCTGTATCTGTTTTCAAATGAAACTGAGATACACATATTTTCACCTTCTTAATCTATTATAAGCAATCTTCACTCAAAAAATTCTTGTAGAACATTTGATAGCTTGATATATTTTGACAGCTCCATTGTGTAACAGTCAACAGATATACCACTAACAAATTTATTTAACTACTTTTATTAGACTTTTTAATGTTTCCTCATAAATTTTCTCATATTATAAATAATGTTGCATAAATTTTACCAGGAAATAAAACCTTGCAGTATTCCTGTCATCAGAGCAGCAACACCTCAAGACCAAATGCATTTTCATTAAGTACTAATATTTTTTTTAGAAAAGCAATTACCAATATTCGGTACTGAAACAGAATGGCATAGATATAACAATTCATGAAGGATATGGCTTTTCTTATTTATTCTCTTGTTGTAAGAATTAGAAATCTGTGCATCCTTTAAGAGTAACCATATTCTCACATAATTAGTATCCCAGAAGAAAAATACAAAGATGAGCCAAAACTTCAAATCTCCCATACTAAATTCAAACAAACTGCAGAGATATCTGACAACACAAAGTAACCGAATGATCAGTGAACTTTCTTTGAATTTAATTCTATGCCCAAAGAGAATCGTCATAAAAAGACTTACTACAGAAGCATTAGGAGCAGACAAATAAGTCATGAAATCTTTTGCAAATTTATGCTGGAAAAACAAAAGAAAAAATTAAAAGTTAAAAGAAGATTATTAAGGCTTTGTTAAAAAAGAAAACTGAACAGAGTAAATTAAGATACTGCTTACCAAACAGTTAAATGCTGATAAGTTTTCCGAGCCAGCAAATCTAAAACCCAGAGACAAACAGGCTCCTGCAATTATGTAAACATGTGCTTGCCTGGAAACAGATTATAAGAAATTTAATACTGTAGTTATTTTGCTTTTTTCATTATTACTATTATCTTGGGGTAAAAATAAAAAATACTCCTGGTCTCTAAATAAGTTTATATTCTTCTGGGAACACTCAATTGTGCCTCTACTCAGATTTCTGAGCAGTTTTCTACTACAGAAGCACCATATGTAGACAAAATGTGCCTCTTGCCTGCACGTTTCATATTCAGCAAAAGAAGGTAATTTTTTAAAAACACTGCCAATTTTTAATGGAAAGGATAAAACAGGTTATAAAACAAAAAAATATGTACAAGTTAAGTTTCCAATAACATTTTTTTAAAGTGACAGCTCTACACTTCAGAGACATAAACAAAAAATCAACTTTGTGAACACCTGATAAACAATGAATGGTTAGAAACATGGAGGATTCAGAATTACTCAAATCAAGGATAGTGTTGCCCCTACACATTATATTCCTGTTTATTTATCTGACAAATGCTATAATAGCTTGTTTACATTACACACTTCATGACTTACGACAAAGTTTCCAAGTTCAAATCCTCTGAGCAAGGCAATTCAATTTCACTGAGAGAGATACTATTTTCTCTTATAATCTGTCAAGACAGAAAGCAAGAATACTTGGACATTAATATTCTAGTTACAAATATTTAATGATTGGAAAAATAACATATTGCTTATAGTGGCCATATTTATGTAAAATGTTTTACCAAATCATTTCATTCGAAAGCCTGTATTTCAATCACATTGAAGGCAATCCTATTTCATATCTAAAATGGGCCAAATAAGAATAAATGAATAGGACTGAATGAATATAAACTGAAGGGCTTACGTATATTCTGAATCCTAGCAGAGTAGTAGTATTTCATACCAGTGAACTGAAATACAAAGACGGTAACTACAGAGCAGAGTTGGGGCAGATGTGTGGGAAAGCAGGGGGGAAAGAGGAAAGAAGCAATTGGGAAGAACTCTAACCAGACACATAATTCTTATTCTTGGGAAGTTTCTAATATTAAGCCTACCAGAAGCGAGGTTAGACACTACATTAATTATCCAAGCCAAACCACACTGTCAATATGTTAATCTGTAATTACTGTTTAGAAACATACCCCTTTCCTTTTAGTACAGTGAACAAAAACTTATCAAAAAACATACACAGAATATCTAGCTTTAACAACCAAGAACAGACTTGATCCTCTTTCCTTAAAAATTACAAATATATAGAAAAAGCTACGTATTTTCTAAATATATTGAATGCAAGTACAAGTACAGAAGTAGTACTCTGAAGATTTATTCTGATTCTTTTCAGAAGTCTGCTCAGGAGAAAAACATTTCAGAATGCTTTCTATAATAAGCCAATAAACACTGAAATGTCACTTAATGATACAACCTCCTTACGTACTAAATATCACCAAATTAAAAAAACTGAAATACCTTTTCTCTTTGGTAACCTCAATGAGGCAAACAATTACGTTGCCTTTGTAATACAAGCTGATAACTACTTCCATCTTCCTTTCTCTCCAGTCTTTATTTTTAATTTTGAATGTTATTTACTCAGAAATTGAGTGGCATTCTGAAAAAGTGATGTAACTTCAAAGTGAGTAATTTATACATGGACAACCTGATTTAACATCCATGCAAATCAAAGTGTTCAGCTGTAACATACAGGAGTGGAATAGTGCTATTTTGACAGCAGGCATTTATAAGCTCCTTTGGTCTTCTAAAGATATGTACCCTGAGCTTGACAGCCTACATTTGAATCCCAGCAGGGCCACACACTATCTCTATAACCACAGGCAAATTTCTTGACTGCTCTGGGCTTCATCTGTAAAATGAGCAAATAAAAGTTCCTACCTTCTAGGTTTCCATGAGAATTACAGGACTTAATCAACTCAAAGTTCTTAAAATTAGTGCCTGGCACATAGTAAGTCCTTTATAAGTTTTAGCTGCTATCATTATCATATTATTGTTGATCTGTGTACCACCCCTAGCATAATGCCACAGTTAATCATAAACCATTTAAAAACATCACTAAGAACTAGAGCTGTAAATATCTGTTGAGGGGGGATGCTCTTTTCAAACCAGTCCTTGTCATCTTCTCTATAGTCTCCTAAAGTTGAAAAAAAAAAGTACACACACACATGGGGTGGGGTGGGGGGAAAAGTCAAAAAGAAGACTATAATCCCTAGGAGCAAGCTGAGGCACACAGGAAATGGACAAGAAAAGACCACCCATACACTGGGCACAGCACTTGAGCAACTTGCAGCCCTTCACTGCATAAAAGAACAACTATGGTTGTAGAGAAAGGATTTTAATAAGGAAAAAGTGCCAAGAAGGTGTTAGTTGTTGTTACTGCACACATGCCTTAAGTTCAAACAAACAAACTTACAAAGTGAACTTTTTAGTCCCCCTTTTGTTACTAGGTCATTCCTGCAAGGGGCCCTGCTGCAGAATCAATGAAATGAGTGGGAGAAAAGTGGACAGTGACAGGAAATAGCAGTGAATAGAACTGTGCACCTGTTACATGTCATACTGGGACTCCCTGAGGTAATGAAGAGCAAATTTAAACTACTGAGTCTGAAGTAAAAGAAATGGAGGAAAGATAACATTCTATTAAAAAGCCAAAGACCACATTTCCACAAAGGTAAAAGAGAACTCCCTGACATAAACTCTCACTTTCCACTTTGGAATAGTTACTTGTATCCATGTTTAATCTAAGTCTATAAACTAAACCTGGTTTCCTGAGGGCAGTCAGCCTACATGCGTAATGCACTGTTCACTGTAGCAAGTTTATTTAGCACAGTGTCTGGCATGTGTAGATGTGTGAATGAAGGAATGTTAACATAAGCAGAATGTCACCCTACAATATGCACTTTAAAGGGTACTTTCAAAAGGAACTGACATCTTTGAAATCCAAATGGACTGTAAGTTAAAATTCTGATGACAAATGGCTGAGTCAATTAAAACTCTTCCTTATCTGTTTCATATCAGTGATTAACAAACTGGAGGAATTAAACAAATAAAAATGTATCTAGGAGTACTACTTCAGGTAATGGATGAATCATTCCTATCAGACTGACCCTCTTGTAGAATGTAAGTATAAACTCTAGGAAAAATATAAAAACCAATTCCATGGCAGGGGTCAGCAAAGTTTTTCTAAAAGAGCCAGAACATAATCATTCTAGGGATGCAGCCATGTAGTCTCCAAAGCTACTACTGATCTTTGCTGTTCTAACACAATAGCAGCTGGTGACAATAAGTAAATGAATGGCTGCGGCTAGTTTCACTGTTACCCCTCTTATTAGCTGGGTCACTTTGGACCAGTCTGTCATCTTTCCATGTTAATTGTTCCAATGAAACTTTAAAACATAGGTAGGCCGTAGTTCCTTAATCCCTGATCTCAAGGCACTAGAGATCACACAAAAGC